GTTTTACATTTCGGATAATAGTTGGAGTGTCATTACCATCCAAAAAAAAAAAACATATTAAGTATAAAAACACACCAACTTAAATATTATTCAATGCTATATTCAATAATAAATGTACAATTTATATAGGATTTCTAAAATTATCTTTCTTCAAATCTAAATGAGATTTTCCAATATAGATGATAAATGTTCATAAGATATTCAAATAGGTGAAGAATATAATGAAGAATAGGATTTTAGAATAGCAAGAATAATTAAAGAGAAGAAACCAGGTTATTGTGATTTTAAGGACCAAAAATTGAATTGGAAAATTTAATTGGATTGATAAAGGTGTTAGGATCTTTTCCAATAATAAGGATATTTATGATATTTGACATTATTTGTTTATTGTACTTAATAGTTGAAGGCTTTTGTTCAAAAAACATTGAAATGAGATTATTTAACCAGTAAAAATGTTTGACTGGGTTCTTTAACAAATTCTCCCATTTATAAATGTTTTATTTACAAATTTGAGAAATACAAAATACTATTTATTTTTAAGTCATTGAATTTATTGGGAAATTTTATCTGATCGTCTGAACTTTTCTATGCTAATTTGGTTATTTAATTTTCACTTTCATTAATTACATTTGCCTACTTTAAGATAATACACTAATGAAACAATTTACTTGGACCTCAGAAAAATTGGTGTGAACTAAATTGGTGTAAACTAGGGGTGCAAGCGGTTCGATTTTATAGGTTTTTGATAGATTTTCAAACCAAATCATTTAAACCGGTTTGAGAAAAATTCAAACCTAAACCAAATTATTTTGAACGGTTTGAAAAAAAACTCAAACCTAAACTTAACGGTTGCCGGTTTCGTCATAAATTTTTTTCTGCCGACTTTTATGTCATTAAATCACTAAATTCAATAAATATTTATATCTTACTATCAATAAATCTAAAACAAACTAAGCCCCTATTTGAACCAAATTTTTGGAACAAAAAAATGAAAATTTGGACCATTATCCCACAAGTTCAACTGCCTTTGTTGACTTGCTGTTTCATGTGTGGGACTCAGCCTCCTCTCCAACGATCAATTTCCTCATTATGATGATATGAAAAATATGGTTCAAACAGAGGCTAAATATATCTACTATACATATAAATATCAACTAAATCAAAGAAAAATTAAAATAAATTAAAACATAGTTTTTTTTTTCATTTTTGTTCACATTTTTTAGGCTAATGATTATATAATAACGTGACAATACAAGTCTACTAAATTATATATAAGGCCCAAAAAATATAAAGGATATCCAATAAGATCTTGTGATCATCATATCTGAAAAAAATAATACTGATTAAATAAAGAGAATAACCAACACAATAATAAAGCAATTGTTAATAATATCTAAATATAACAATTACACAAATTTACGTTTGTATGATGTTACGAAACGCATTTAATTTCAGATTCTTACCTTAGTTTGTTCCAAAAAAATTATTGATTTGAAACTTTATTCGTAGCAAATATTATCACCGAATGTCTAGGATCTTTTTGCCTCCGGTTTGGTATAATAGACTACTATTCAACTTTGAAAAGGTGTGAAAAATCTGAAAAAGAAGTGTGTGGTGCCGGTGACTCAAGACTGTGTTGGATGTCGGCTGGAGTTCATCTAAATTCTGAAGAGAAAAATGACTTTTGAAAAATTATGTTAGTTTTGAGATTATTAGATATATATTAGAATTATTGGATAATAATAATAATAATAATAATAATAATAATAATATTCTGTATTAGAAAATTAGAAATTGATAAAAATGCCCACAAATGACAAAACTATTGAATTTTACATATTTTGATGAATGTTCAAAAAAATTCATTTTTTCATTTTTTTATTTTTATAATTTTTTTTGACGGTCCGGTTTGATTTTAAATTGCAATTAAAATTCTCAAACCTAAACCAAACCATTTTCACCGGTTTGGTTTGAGTCAAAACCATTTCGTTGACCGAATCCACGTGGCACCAAACTGATGGTTTCTAAAATGCGATTTCAATTCGATTTTCCGATTTGGCCATTTTTGCTTACAGCCCTAGTGTGAACATAGAAAACCTCCAGCGAAATTTAGCGACTAAATGAAATAATGCTTAAAGTTCCATTAGAATATATTTGGGAAGTGTTTATAAATGGTTTAAATTGTAATTCAATCGTGCTACACATGGACAATTTTGAGAAAAGCACAATTTCCAATTCTACTCTTTTTGAATTCCAATGAAGTATACACAAAGATATCAAGTAAAGGATGTAAACTCAGCATTATTCATTGTAAATAAATAGAAATTAATGACTCATAAAATGAGTAATATTTATATATCCTTCAAAGTGTGTGGATAAATAAGAACTTAGAATGTTTATAAACTTTTACTTGATATTCATCTTAAAACATCAGCATTATTAAGATAAGCAACCCAATTTCTTATATGTTGTATCTTTATTCAGTGTAGCATAGATGGCTCTTTCAAGAGCACCATTCTTGAGATCCGATTGTTCATTGATGTTTATGAACTCCAATACTGCATTAAAAACTTGAACTTCCATCTCAAAGTCATTGATGTTTTTTCTTCAAAAGAACAAACAATGAGAGGAACTTATTGCAACTACATAAAGGTATAATGTTGGACTAAATATTAGTGAATGAATACTGGATTAACAAATACGTATATGCAACTTAATGGATTGACACATATCGTATATGCAACTTACCGTATATATAGGGATGACAATCGGGCTCACCTGCTCGGGCCACCTGTGGCTCGACCCCAAAAAAGTCCGAGTCGACCCGCCTAGAGGCTAAGAGGCACCGAGCCCCATTTTCGGGGGTCGACTCGAGCCAGGCCGGCTCGTAAAAAAAAAAAGGAAAAAATCTGTCGCTTGTTTGACAACTAATCTATTGCCAACAAGCAGCAGATTTACCATTAGTTGACAACTTGATGCAAATCTGCTGCCTATTGAGGCAGCTAAGAGGAGGGAAAAAACTTCAAAAAATTGAGCCGGCTCGATAAGGCCCGAGCTAAAAGCTTGGGTCGAGCCTTTGTTCAGCTCGGGCGAAAAAATATTCGCCTTAAAAAAGATCCAGTTGAACTCGACTCAACTCATTGACACCCCTACATATATGCAGTAAACTTTGATACTGGATTTGCATATACCGTATATACAGTGAACTTGGATACTACCTAAAATATAGTAGATTAAATTCCAATAAAACAGAATGAGTAATTAGCCAAAAAAGGAAAAAAAAAAAAATTAACCGAAGCCTGTGTGAATACGGTTTTCTTAAAACAGATTCCACCTCTTACCGTATGTGCTTGAGGTTTGATTCGAACGTCTGTCTCATAGGATACAACCGAAAAACAGTAGAGTTTGAGTACATCAAATACTACTCTACTGAACAGAACTTGTGTCAGAACAATATCACCGAACAAAATTTCAAACAGACACGGGATTGTATGCTGTGTACAAACCAGAAAATTATGCAAAAACTGTATTCTGTAAAATTATGCAGAAACTATATGCTATATTGATTATCTCGTGTAGAATTGTTAGGAATCGAGTTGCTTATATAGGCTTAACCCCATGAATGTCATTAACTCGTATTATAATGACAATTACTATTGGAGTTTCGACAGTTTTGAAATTTAAAAAGTTAGTTGGAGGAAAATTTGGCAAAACGTAGACTCTCCTAAGGAGCCAATCTTCATATCCGAAGCCTATTTTGGTTCGATTTGCCCCCTATGCGCGCACGTATACATTTTTTGTTCTAGCATGTCCCAAACATTATAATTAATAACTTAATCATCACGAATCTTTTTGTAGTCAAGTCTAGTTGAGCCCCGTTTTTGAATTTTTACCATCAGATTTAAACATGAAAAATGTAAATCATAACTAGAAAAATGAGTCAAAGGGACAATTTTTCTCGAGGTAAAAAAAATGAAAATGAAAACTTATTTAAACGTAACTTTTGATTATAATAAACATTGTATATTCTAAATGTTTTAATTTTTTACGTGATTATATAAAACTATTCATTTCACAAAAAAGTTTAGGGTACTGTATGAATGTATTTAACAAACATTGTACATTTTAAATGTATTTATTTTTTACGTGATTATATAAAACTATTCGTTTCACAAAAAAAAACCTTATCTAAACGTAACTTTTGATTATAATAAACGTAATGATTTGTACATTCTAAATGTATTTATTTTTTATGCGATTATATAAAACTACTCAGTTCACAAAAACTATTCTTTTGAATTTTTTCCATCGGAAGTAAACATGAGTAAAATGTCAATCAAAACTAGAAAATAAGTCGAAAGGGCACTTTTCTCGAGGGGGAAAAAAAAACACTCCTCTAAATGTAACTTTTGATTATAATAACAAACATTGTACATTCTAAATGTATTTATTTTTTTGTGATTATATAAAACTATTCGTTTCACAAAAAAGTTTAGCATACTGTACAAAGAATCTAAGTGGTTTGTTTGCGTTTTCGACCCATTTTCCGTTTTTCATTTTCGAAAACGCGAAAAACACATTTGGTCCGTCGTTTTCAAAAACACATTTTTGAAAACAAGTTAAAATTTATAACTAAAAACGCAAAACGACTTTTTATCGTTTTCAGTTATAAATGTCGAAAACGTTCAAAACGAGCCGTTTTCGAAAAAAACTAAAAATCATTTTGAAAATGAAAATGCAAACCAACCACGGCCTAAGTTTCTTCCAACAACTACAACATCGACAATTATTCCAACGTGTATGGAACCTACAATTTGAATATAAAGATTTTTGGGTGTTCTTGCTGGAACCGTGACAAATTATCAATGCAGTCTGAAGCAGGATTTGTAACAGCCAGTTGAAGAAAATCTCCATTAGGATCAATAAGAAAACCAGTTCATTTATCAAGAGTCTCCTGCCATGAAGTAATTGACAAATTATCAATGCAGTCTGAAGCAGGATTTGTAACAGCCAGTTGAAGAAAATCTCCATTAGGATCAATAAGAAAACCAGTTGATTTATCAAGAGTCTCCTACCATGAAGTAATTGCTGCCACAAGAGGTCAGTCTTCAGCAGGATTTGTAACAGCCAGTTGAAGAAAATCTCCATTAGGATCAATAAGAAAACCAGTTGATTTATCAAGAGTCTCCTGCCATGAAGTAATTGCTGCCGCACGAGCTCCCTACGGCACAAGGTATATCACGGACAAGAAACTTTACACTGCGAGTGCCTACAAAGTCCAATACTTCGAGGCACTCTTGCAAATCAGAATCACTTACCAACAACACCCATTCCTCCTCATCATCAAGATACTTGATCTGGAACTGCCCTGTATTTAGTTTGAACCTCTTTGCTGTTTCTTCATACAGTCGAAAACATCCACCAGAAGGCTTGAACTTGAACCGGATTGTGTCTTCTTTATAAGTAGCTTTGACAGTAATTTTTGACCCACTTTCTCCACAGCTTGCCTCAGTCTGAGAATTCTTCTTTTCATCACAACTTCTTGAGCTTGACGAACTGCCTTTCCTTGTTGAGCCAGGCCCACTGGACGAGTCTGTCATTCCCGAGGAGGTGGGCTGGCTATGTTCAAAAACTGCATCATCATCCACTCCAATATCACCTTTAAATGTACTGTATATATCATTGCCAGCAGCAATGGACATTGAGCTTTGAGAAGAGAAGGGATACTCGGAAGCCACTAGGTTCATGCTATTGTTTAGCTCCCACTGATTGCATCCTTCTCCCATAAGGAAAGGATTTGATGCAAGCTTCCAAGAAGACGCCCAAGGCATGGTGTTAAGACTAGCAGGCTGGAACGGCCCAGTATCTAGTGCAGCCAATTTGGATTCATCGGAGCTTTCTGGCATAAGTGTATTTATTTTACGCTCTCCATTGAAAGAGTTAGGACTCGGCACATTTGACCTCGCCACTTTATTTCTGTCCAAAAAACACCCTTCTTCCATTTTCACAATGCCACCCTCAACATCAGTGCAAGATGGAGAAGCCAGGATCGCACCCTGGATAAATGAATCTGGATTTCCAATGGATTGACTTCTACTGTGGATGAGAACACTTTTTTGCTGATCAAAATCTTGGATAGAGCTAGCAGCCACAAGCTCCCCGGTGTATGGATCATACTTCAATCCACCTTCCACCCCCTGAACAGAGTCAAGGACGCTCTGTATTTTCCTCAAAGAACGATTCACTTTGTTTATCTTGCGGGATGGCCATCTTGAGATGCCGTGTTGTCTACATATCCTTTTGAGCGTAGTTGGACATACTACAGAAACAAGAAACACAATCAAAACTTAGGCTATCCTTTCAGAGTTTTTCAAACAGCCCTTCCATCCCGAATAGTCTAAAAATCATATAAAACTGTTGACACAAGCTTTTCCCATTTTAACCCATGAATCTTTCACAATGCGTTCAAATAAAAAGTATTAGTTCACTATCATTTGGACTTTGATTTTTTTTTTCTCTCCCCTGATTTCAGACTAGGCAGTTCATCAAATTCCTATTCTAGAATGAATTAATATTTCATTGCACAATACTCTAGCTATACAATAATTTAGACAGCAGCAACCCAAAAGAAGTTGAACAATCACCAGAAGTACCCCATGCATAGCATTGCAAATTCTGTCAGTGAATACTACATGATCTGGCACATGCTCTTTCATAAGAATAATCACGGTGGTTACCAAAGGATAGTCCTTGAGAAGCTTACTTGGTCATGCTTAAAAGTTACTTTTTTCAAAAAGTAGATAAAGCAGGAGCCACAATTATTGCATTGGAGTTGGAACCATAATTTATTTAGTTTGAGTCCCAAAATGTAGTTGGTCTGGTACTTATAAGCACTTATAAGCACACCCAAACATGTGCTTAATTGCTCATAGGACACAACAAACACAATTTGTGATCTATGTTACTAAAATTTTGCAGTATGCGTTAAGTACTTGAATGTGACCCCACATTTGGTTCCTTGAATATCTATATTAAACAGAATTCTCGAAAGTGGATGCAGCTATCATGATAAAGGTTACTATTTTTTGAGGAGGAAATGCAGAAGATACGGTCATGGCTAATAAACAGCATAAGCAATGATTGAGAAAGTCTGCATTTTGGGAAACAAGTTAACACTAAGACTTACCACCAATGCTTTGCGCTGCATCCTTCAGGCTACCAGAAAAGTATTGCTGAAGAACACTTAAACTAACATGCTTCTCAGCTGTGCTTCTCTTCTTCTCCATCCGTCTCCTTGACCCAGCAATTGTCTGCAGTAATTTTAACAAGCTATAAGAGCTCTCTTTCTCCTATTTATTGAAGACACTATACCAGATGCTCCAATACATATATTTATCGGGAAAAGTGAATAGAAGAAAACATCAAAGGAAAATAAACACTATTTTTTCCAATAAAGAAGTTCACCATCCTGAGTTACTTGACCACAAGAGCATGTATGCTTTTTTCACTCGTCATTCTTGTCGTATTTAACCTAAAGTGACACTGGCATCGCATTTCAAGCAGACATAACTTGTCTTATCGTTACCATTTTATTTTTTCCATTCACAAAGAATGTTGCTTTCTTCACCAAAGGATATCATCAGAAAAGAACAAAGGGTACACATTTTTTAATTTCTTGACTTCATTCCAGGATTTATAGTAACAGGTTTCCAAAGGTAATAACAGAGAAACGAAACTAGCAAACAAGTTGATCCAGGAATCAATAGCACTAACCAAAAGAATAGGCTTAAAGTTTCACAGCAACAGGCTGCCAGCTTTTGCAAGTTCCTGCTTAAGAAATTTTTTTATTTTTTATTTTTTATTTTTTTCAGAAGATTAGTATTAAGATATTTTGTTTCACATTGTGTGAATCTATTACTTTCCATCAAAATCCATTTTATCTTGCTAGTAAGAAATTCAAAATGACAAATACTATATGTATTCGCTTATTGGAATTGAAGAGTAACAATAATAAGAATAAAGCTGATCACCAATAGCACTAACCAAAAGAATAGGCTTAAAGTTTCACAGCAACAGGCTGCCAGCTTTTGCAAGTTCCTGCTTAAGAAATTTTTATTTTTTTTATTTTTTATTTTTTATTTTTTTCAGAAGATTAGTATTAAGATATTTTGTTTCACATTGTGTGAATCTATTACTTTCCATCAAAATCCATTTTATCTTGCTAGTAAGAAATTCAAAATGACAAATAATATATGTATTCGCTTATTGGAATTGATCAAGGCAAAGAGTAACAATAATAAGAATAAAGCTGATCAGACAGGGTCAAAGACAGGAGCTTTTTCAGTGATGAAGTGGCAGATTTTGATTGGCAGTTTTTTCTTTAAATTCTTTTTTAACTGCCAATGAGAAAATGCCAACAATATCTGTGTATAAATCCCTTTCATTGGATCTGTTCCTGTGGCAGAACTCTAATAATAATGCTCAATTTATGTTTAAATTGACTGGACTACACTCTGGATGATTCTGATGTATCTTATCCCCTCAATACTGATGATGCAAAGTTAATTAGCTCAGCAAACCCCTCAACTAGAAGGATGATAATATTAGTCAACAATGCAAGAACCTTCATTTTCAAAAACAACCATAATATAAACAACAAATTTAACTGCCAATGAGAAAATGCCAACAATATCTGTGTATAAATCCCTTTCATTGGATCTGTTCCTGTGGCAGAACTCTAATAATAATGCTCAATTTATGTTTAAATTGACTGGACTACACTCTGGATGATTCTGATGTATCTTATCCCCTCAATACTGATGATGCAAAGTTAATTAGCTCAGCTAGAAGGATGATAATATTAGTCAACAATGCAAGAACCTCCATTTTCAAAAACAACCATAATATAAACAACAAACTATTTTTTGGGGTGGGTGGGGGAAGGGGGGGGGGGGGTATTTTGGAGCTAAACTTTGTGCAATTACGTCACAAATTAAGTGGAGCAGTATACTCATATTTGGACAGAAAATCCTTGGAATTATATGGGCAAATATCTCATATAGGCTATTGCTAATTTATTAAAAAAAAAAACTAAGAGTTGACTGAAATGCTACTCAAAAACCAGGCCCAAAAGATCAGATAACAAAAAAGAAACAAGCAGCAGCAGTTCCTACAAGCACGATAAAATTTTACACTATAAATTTAATATTTGAAACAGTCACTATAAGCCTATCACCATTATCTATGATAATTATCAGTGCTCTTGGAAGCAAAAATGCTTCAAACAAACGTTATGAAGCAGAAAAAGGGAAGTATTTCATATCTGAAAAATAGTGGTGTTGAAAATGCGAGATTCAACATTAGCAATTTAACAAACGTGAATTCAAAAGATCAGATAACAAAAAAGAAACAAGCAGCAGCAGTTCCTACAAGCACGATAAAATTTTACACTATAAATTTAATATTTGAAACAGTCACTGTAAGCCTATCACCATTATCTATGATATTTATCAGTGCTCTTGGAAGCAAAAATGCTTCAAACAAACGTTATGAAGCAGAAAAAGGGAAGTATTTCATATCTGAAAAATAGTGGTGTTGAAAATGCGAGATTCAACATTAGCAATTTAACAAACGTGAATTTAGAAGTACCTGGTCAAGAGGAACGTCGGCATCCATTTCAGTAGTCTTTGAATCTGATACATTCAGGGGTAATTGATCGCCAGAGTTTAAATTGCCATCTATCAGTGACTGTTCAGAGCTCCTCCTGGACAATGTACTAGGTGGAATGCTTTGAACTTCCCCATTCTGTAGTCCAACTTCAGATTCTAGTCCAACTAATGTTGCATCTGACGCTGTCCTCAAACTCCTGCAGATCCTCTGCATTGTACCGGATAGGTTATTTAGCAAGAGCTGCTGTTCTGTACTCCCTTTCATATTGACAGGGAGAAAGAATTCTAGTATATAGTCATCATCACCAGTATATGTACTTCTTAACCTAATTGCAACAGCAGCATTTAGGCCGAATTTCCGGGCATGATGAACAAGAGGATACTCACTTATGTGGTATTCCTTTACATCAGAGTAGAAAAAGGGGTGATTTGATTGGAGAGCTTTCCCAGCAATACCTTGTCCCTCCTCAAGATGATGTTCCCTACATGCATGCATAAATCCCTGCATAGCTCTATCATTTACGTAACAGGCTGTACTCTCAATGCACAGTATACATTTTTCGTCAGAACTTGTGTTGCATCCTCTAACTTGTACTGTTGTAGTTTCATCATCAGCCCCCTCTTTGTAACAGCAAGGAATCCATGTCAAAGCAAGAGGCAGTCTATGTGCATGGCAAACAGCTCGCAAAACATCAGTTATTTCAGCTAAAGCTGATCTTTGATTCTTTGAAAGACACTGCAAATTAACAGAGAATTTTAGATAGATGTAAACATAAGAAACGGGAAAATAACTCATACATGTGATCATTCAATTGTCTACTTTCCCTTTGATATCAAAGTTACCTGGGGATAGAATCGAGGTACAGTGCTCCTTAAATTCACTGCCTGCGTATGTTTGTAAAATGTTAATAGTACCTCACGCTGATAAGATAAATATTATTTTTCAAAGGGAAGGAAAAGAAATACACCCAAGCAACTCTTATGTACGTAAACCCTTTTCATGCCAAAATCGGAGTGGGGGAAGGAATTTGTGATGAGAAAGAAATTATCAAATCAATGTCACGTGAATGAACTGGATAGAGCCTAGTTAATTGTTCCCTTCATTTCACACAGAAGGTTGACAATCACATAAGCGGGTACCAAAAAAAAAGCATGCTCCTCCAAAGATGTAGCGGAATATTACATGAAGAAGCCATAATGCCTAAATGTTGGTCCAATAATGGTGCATGATTACAGATTCACTTCCATCAGAAGTCCTAGTTATTAGTTACTAATAACTATCTGACTATCTGAGCAAACTGAATTGTGTGCCTCAGAAAAAAAAAAAAGAAACCAAAGAAATAGTTGGCAAGAAAGGGACAACATTGGTTAATGTCACGTGAATGAACTGGATAGAGCCTAGTTAATTGTTCCCTTCATTTCACACAGAAGGTTGACAATCACATAAGCGGGTATAAAAAAAAAAGCATGCTCCTCCAAAGATGTAGCGGAATATTACATGAAGAAGCCAAAATGCCTAAATGTTGGTCCAATAATGGTGCATGATTAGAGATTCACTTCCATCAGAAGTCCTACTTATTAGTTACTAATAACTATCTGACTATCTGAGCAAACTGAATTGTGTGCCTCAGAAAAAAAAAAAAGAAACCAAAGAAATAGTTGGCAAGAAAGGGACAACATTGGTTCATCTTGGAGATCTTTTTAACGGATTGTGGAAGTTATTTTAAGTGAATACTTTTCTTTCGTTGGGATAGGGTGTGGGGTGGGACTGAGTGGTTAATAAATGAGAGATGGTAAAACTTAAAAGCCTACGAAAAGAGAAACACCAAAACAACCACTCTAAAGTATTTTGTATTAACATAATAATACTGATGTAAATAGCCATGTTTCTCATGCTTCGCACTCTGAAAGCTATCATAACATCCCAAATTGCTGTATATTGGGAGAATTCATACCAACGTATAAGTTTTGGGTTGTCGGCTTTAAAATAACTTGGAAGTCCTTCACAGGTTACTTAAGCCCAAGTAGACGCTTGTAACCCCTCCATTATTTATTATAACCAAATTTCTCATTCTTTCCATTTTAAAAGAGACTCCCAACCCACCCTAACTGAAGAAAGAAAGAAATATTTCTTATAATTGAAGGTAGAAGATGCACGTATATAGAGAATCAATAATCACTTCACATCACTTCTAAATTGTTTAGTGAAAGAATGTTGGCAAGGAAGAGCGGTTGCTAATTAAATTCAATCACATAGAACCAATTAATTTGATTGTGTACAAAAATAATTCACAAAGAGATACATCCATGATTTTTGGCTCTTAACATTGAGAACCCCTTAATGCCCAAATCAGCAGCTCCACTTGATATTTAGATAAACAATCTATTATAATGGTTTTGCTTTCTCGTGTTTATCTTTCTTTAACATCATGGAACATGACAATATTCAAGGTTCAGGTCTCCTACCAGCAGAACTATCTGGTTGGGGGAAAATGGATTATTGTAAGCAAGAAATGGTAAAAAGGATGCTGAAAAAGAATAATACAAATTGACAAACTAACCTGGAGGGCATGACACACATTTTCCATCTCCGAGTCAAAATTGGGTTTTTCCTTCATGGTGACCAATTCTAGCACTGCACAACATGATCTTTCAGGCGAATCATCCTCAAACACAGGTAAGGCAACAGATCCACGGACTTCATGCTCAATCGCATACTGAACCCTCAAGTACTCTTCTTTATTGTAGTACACCACATTTGATGTCCACTCTGGTATCTTAGAGGTAAAGACACGGCCCGGAAGGCCTGGGAAAGAACCCGGTCTTGATTCTGCAGCAAAGGTAAAAAACCTAGACACTTCACGATAACCAGAAAGTGTCTGGTCAAGTAAATAAGGTTGTTCACAGGTGCTTAAGATGTACCCATCCCTATTCTTTATTGGAACCCAAACTTGGGCCAAAATACCCCCTCCAGACCATTCTTTAAATAGATGTAATGCTCTGAGCATTTTCTCAGCCAAGGATTGTGAAGGAAGTCTAGGGATTGTGGTATGTCTTTCAGAAACCGCATTCTGCTGGGCTGAGCTATTACCTCTCCTCTGGCTCACATCAACCCCATTATTAGCAGAATCCACCGGGAACTTTAATTGGCTGTGCATCTGCTGAAGCAGCATTTTGCCTCCCATGCTAGACAAACTTCCCACAGTTTCACCTTCTACCATGGGCACCTGGAGAGAATACTGCTCTGTGAAGTTTATCCCATCAAAAGGCACAAAATTTGTGACTGTCGAACTATGAGGCGATATTGGAAAAGAGGGAAACAAGAAATCTGAAACATTATTGGGGTTATTGCACCATCCACCATTCGAATCAACATTCATAAATTCTCCAATGTTACTAAATGAACCATCCAAATTCGAGCCCCGTATGCCATTCTCCATATAAGTCTTATCCATACACTCCATCTGACCCCTCGGTGAAGGCCAATATCCAGTATCCTTCTCCTTACTCGAAAAAGGGTACTCCATCTCAATTCAAAGACCAGAAAACAAGTAGTATACCAAACAAGTTAAATCTCCAAATACAAAGAACTTTCAAGCCACTTAATTTGATATCTATTGCACGAAATTCCTCCCATATTGAGTTCCATTTACCATATATCTCACAATCATGTTCAGACGTTCACATAAACTACCCCTTTTCCCCCAATTATTCAACTCAAACCCCCAATCAAGTCAAATTCACGTCAATCAAACGAAACCCATCAATACCCATGATATGAAGTTACTCACTCCCTTACACTCACAGATACAAAGATGTATATATGATTATATACAGTCAATTATACAGGAGAAATACAGACAAGAACTCTGAGGAATGACCTCAGAGATTCAGAAACTTTCGGGGAGGTAAGCAGCAGAACTTAATTGCATAGAAAAAGCCGAAAAAAGCTAATCAATCAACAAAGGCAGCGCCCCCACAAAAATCCTAGAATTCACCAACCATACAGCGAATCAAATCACCAGAAGAACCACAAATCAAAACCCAGCTCAGATTCATATCCTCATAACCAATTAACATAAAGCGTATACTTATACTAAGTGAAAATGATTGAGAAGAAAAACCCGTATCGCAGAACAAAAGGGATAAGAAAAATCTCGAGCTAAATCATACTTTACTGTGTGCTTTCGAAATATGTTTGTTCCTGTCGAAAGGACTATAGAACTGATTCCAAGGGGTAGATAAAAAGCTACCTTTTTAAGGGAATTTTTCTATAAACGGAAACCGAAGAACGGGAGAGGAACGAGGTAACCTTGTCCGTGGGAGATTTGTTCTATAAATAGAATTTACTCTTTTCATTTTATATTTTCTCGTTAGCAGTTTTGATATTACTATAGTTATCGATTCAAATATTTTTTTTATATAATCAATAGGCATACTTCTATAGCACTTGTGTGATCCCCATTTTGGAAAAATAATGTATTTTGAATAGTATATTAATGGAGAATATATAATAAAAAATTAAAGAAAAGTTTTGAATTTGCTTTTAATATTATTTTATTAAAAAATGTGTGATTGAAAATGAATTTTGAAAAAATAAATATTTGAAGAATGAGAGTCAAACAAGGGCATAATTTTCAATGAAAATTAATACAATTCAAGAAATAACTAATAAGAATCACACTATTTGATACTCATCTCTAACTTCTATCGCAAAACCAAATCGGCCACCCTCGTGAGATGTGGGGATGCTGTGGGGGAGAGGAGGTTTACTTTTAGTTTGCTTTGAGATCTGAGATGGGGTTTTGAGGGATAACAATGATGATTAACTTAATCTCCATGGTAAACTTTGTTTAAGATGTTATGAACTACTATAATTTTAGGGTGATGCTAGACAGACGGGACCACATTGACCCTATCCGTCCATGAGGAGACTCCCCTTTTACCAATAAGGGTCTATCCGTCTAGGATAATTCATATTTTTATTGTTATTTGAGAGGGATAATTGTACTACTTCTTATCCAACTTTTATTTTAATTACAAACAGAATATTGAACTTCAATTTGCAGCATTCGAAACGTTTAAAATCAACTTAGATGTAATCCAAGTTACTTTACTTCAATTCAATTACTTTAACTTCATAGTGATATTAGAGTGGCTTGAGAGAATTCTTCATCCATTCCCTAACTCTCTTTCTATGACGTAAATGATGACAAATAAACATTTTTCCCCCTTTTATAAGCCCTTTTATGGGTTGCATTGATTTATTTCCCCAGTAGATGGCCATGTTATATTAGTTTTAATGGTTAATTAAGCATGTTTTGATACGTATATTGACGTAATTTAAACGGTTAAATAATTGTATTTCTGTAAACTAAAGTTTAATAACTAAATTGAGGTAAACGTTGAGTGACCATAAACACATTTAATGAAAAGGAGAAGGACATATCACTTAATAATTAAGATGAGAATCAATTAAAATATAGTTGACTATTCTTAAACTTTATAATAACAGCTCAATTAAATATTGTTATAATCTTGTAACCAATCTGTTTTTATTTTTTTTCTTCTTTCTAACAACCAAAAAAATAAAGTGGACCATAAAGAAACCAGTTTGTCTACCCTTAATTTGTTTAAACAATAATAATTTTGTTATCATCTCAATTTGTTTTCAACTAGGAGTTTTAAGTGTGTCTACATCAATTATTTGTAATAATGTGAAATGACTAACGTATTATTAAAGTCTGATCAAATATAAATCGAATCACTAAAATTACGAGATTATAAAGGCTGAATTATATTGAAAAAAATCAATCACCTTTCACTATCAAGAAAATTTAGCATTAGCCCTCTTTTATCTTTGAATCTAACCGATATGTGATTAATAAAGCAAGTAAAACTAAAAATAAGAGTGGGGTAATTTAGTGATTTGAATGAGAAGCAAGGTCAGAATAATGATTTTTTATTTTTATTTTTATTTTTTTGGTACTCATGGCATTATTATATAGGATACGGTCTCTCACACCAACCAAATCAAAGCTGTCACCTTTTTACAGTTTTTCAAATTTTTTTGGAATAAATTATAATCCCCCTGTACAGGGGATTTTGTCATGATTGAGATAATAGTTTGTGCTTGAATGTGTTAAAATTATTTTTGTCCAACCGCCAATGAAATTTTACCAAGTGTAATTCTTGCAAAATTCCCCGACAATGTAGCACAATTGTATTTTATTTAGTACCTTGCTGATTCAACTACTTGATATACAACACTAGGCATCCCCAGTCCCTTGATGACATCCATGTGGGCTCCTAGTAAAATTCATTTATTTATAGTTTATATATATATATATATAGCGGTAGTTAGTTATCTCCGGATTATTTTAATCATAATAAAGGAAGAATTTTGTGTGACGAAAGATCATTGTCAACTAAATCGATATTAAATATTTGGAATCTAATTATTTATTGGGCATAAAAGTGAGAATTGGATGTGCAAAGATTGATTATAAGAATTGTGTCAAAACATCATTGTGGAATATTCACTAAATCAAGATCACTAACTATTCTAATTATTTGAGCCTCAATTGGAACATAGGATCTCGGCTGTCGTCGTGCTTGTTTCATTTTACTACTGGTACACATTACTTATTTTAAATTTAGCCCATAAATATTATATTTGATATTCTTCATATTAAAGTGAGAATATGATATTTATGGGTAGGTAAATAAAACATGCGTTGATAACAACATATTATTGTACATCAAAAAAATGTGATTTTGGAGAAAAAAAAATTATTTCAACATTAATTAACCCTGCATTACTTCAATTTATTTTAGCAAGCAAATTGTGAAAGAAAGCTAAATGGTCTTTAGACTTTTGTCTATGAGTAAAACATTAATTCATGTATGGTGGTCGGTATATACAATGAATAGTATCTTAAGGCTTTCTTTGAAAGTTGGAGGTGCAATCAACTATTCTGATTTCAACAAGGGACATTTGTAAATCAATATTAGGGGGGTAATTTTGTTACTCTTTTACTAAATTAATTTAAAATACCTGAGAATGTAGAGTGAATCGTGCTAAATTTATTTTCCTAATAAAAGTTATAAACAAATATTAGTCACCATTTTATTCAAAAAATAAAAATGGCCCATGTTCGCCGCTAGCTATTTATGCGTTGTCTACCTACTTTATTTTAATTACGAGGAAAAATGTTTGCTTTTGATATTCTCTTCATTTTGAATTTTTCGTGTATTACTTACTTCTATTCACTTTAAAAGCAAATTGAGGAAGATAGTTTAATAGTAAAACTTTTTTATCTATGACTAATGATAATTAACCGAATTTAGTTAGGATACAAATTACTTAATTCAAGTTTGGCGGCAGATATATAATAACTCTTGTTAACCCTAACTTTAATCTCTTTGAAGTTACAGACCAATATAAGTCACCATTTATATATATATATATATATATAAAAAAGGGGGGGGGTCACGTTCTTAAAAGGAAAAACACTATTTCAACCATTAAAATTTCAAATAATGGGGACCAAACTGGGGCTAAAATTCTTGTTACACGTTTTGTTTGCTTCTCTCTCTCTCTTTCTTAGCACTCTTCACAAATTCTATACGATAATTCATCCATTTTATATTTATAACTGTAACTAAATATGTTTTCTTTTGATGTTCATGTCAACGTTTATTTCTGGAGTGCTTGGTATTGTCTTTCTCTATTTCTAACCCATTCATGATTTTATTTGTTTTGAATTGTCTATTTTTCTTCTTTCTACTTTAACAAGCAAATCGAGGAAGATGGCTGAAGGTAAAATAGTCATGGAATTTTACATCTCGACTCATCATTGCACTTTCATCTATGACTAACAATAATTAATAGAGTAAAGTAACTATAAGTACATGTATACAACTTATTATTTAATTCATATATGGTGGTTGGCACATATAATGAATCTTGTTAAGCGTAGTTTTAATCTCTTTAAAGTTACAAACAGATATAAGACACCATTTTATACCCAAAAAATAAGGGGGAAAAAAGAAAAAAGGGCAAAAAAGACCAATATTTGCCGCTAGCTATTTATATGTTGTCCACTCACTTTATTCAAATCGCGAATAAACATGTTTGCTTTTGATATACTTATCTACATGTATTTGTTTGCTTCTCTCTCTTTCTCAGCACTATTCACAAATTTTATAGAGCAATTCATCCACTTTATACTTCCGTAATAAAGTGCATGCTTGGTAATAATTTTTTACCCAAAAAAATCAATTTTTGGACCATTATTTCAGCCGTCATTTTTGATTTCTTCACTCATAGGTGAGATCCACTTTTCTCTCTAACAATAAATAAATCAATTTTCATAATCACTATCAAACAAATCCAAAATATGTTTTGTTTTTTATATTCTTATTTACGTTCATCTCTGGAGTGCTTGAAATTGTTTCACTCTCTTTCTAATGTGATTCAACATTTATTTGTTTTGAATTGTCTACCCATTTTATTCATCTAACCACCATTGAACATGTTTGCTTTTGATATTTATGTCGGATGTCTTCGAATCTTGTGTGCTTGTCACTCTATAATTATCTAGGTTACAAGTGCATGATGAATTTTTGTAGAACGGTGCTGGTCTGTTTTGGAAATTATATTAGTTTTAACTTTCAAAATTATTATATTTAATTTTCAGTTTTGGTTTAATTAAAATCTTAATTTATGATATAACATACACTTAAATATTTGAATGGATGTTATGAATTGATTTAATTCTAATTAATATGGGGGTTTAAATTGTACACTATAAAGAGGGAAGACACCACATGAAAATCACAATATTGAGATACAATTAAAAACACAACTTGAGATGATTGAATCTAAAAATATTCTCTACAAATTGATACTATACTATTTTAACAACTCAACGAGAAATTTATTCACTTATCTCCCTATGATCCTGCCTATAAATTGAGAACTGGCTCTAAGCCACATATTTTTTATCTTGAAGCCATGTAATATCAAAAGAACTCGCATGAAGGGGAGGCAACATGACTTTAAGACAGCGTATTCAACGTGACTCCCAAGGCTTGTTTTCTAAATCTCTTCTCTATTTTATGTTTATAATATTATTGAATTATATTTATTATGTTATATAAAATTGATTATGCTAATTGATATATTTATCTACACACAAATCACTAATTTTTCCAACAATCTAAAGTCTTGTTGAGGTGATTTGCTTGTAGATTAAATATGGTGTGATCATCAAATCATGATTTAAATCTTTGTCTTGGGCGACTTCTACGTGTATGCTTTATTTTCATT